GATGTTGACAGAAATGACAGCAATGAATTTCAAACCGTTTTCCAAAAAGAAGAGCCCCTTGTTCACATTGTATACTCGGAGTGTATTGGGCTAGTAAAAAAGCTGCTGAGTGGCTTTATGAGGCATGAGGCCTACTGCAACTTGTCTGGCAGTGAGTTGAAACAACTTGATGTCGGGTCACCAGAAGGGCTGAAGCAAGTTTTGGAAATCGGATCCGACACTGAAAAATAAATGGGTAACTGGGATCTCCAAGAGAAGAAGAGCTTCAGGACAAGTGCACAGGCATTTTACATTTCTACTGCGAGACATCTAATCAAGCGGCTTCCTCTGGATAACAAACTGCAAAAATGATAACAAAACATAACATAAAATAACAAAATGATAACCAAAATTCCAAAATGAGTTCTAAACAATGTTTCTCAGAATATTGTGAAAAGTTGTTTTGCTATGCATTTCTCGGCGTATTGGACAACCTTGAAAACTGATACCGGTTGCTCCAAACTGCTCCAAAATTGACTTTTTGGTGCTCCAAAACGCTCCACATTCTAATTTTTTGTGCTCCAAAAATTGCTCCAAATTGTGTTTCCTAAGTGGCGTCACTGCACACTTTTCATCATCAAAATAAATTCCCTGCGAGGATGGATTACATCTAATATGTTTTATTGCATGTATGTCGACAACGTGCAGATTGGTTATAAATCCTGCAACCTCACAACGTGCGAGTGGCAGGTACAACTTGGCTTGAACAAGGTTTCCAAATGGGCAGAAGAAAATGGGTTTCGTCTTACTCTGCAAAAAAGCATGTGCGTCTTGTTTTCCAAAAAAACAAAAAGAGAAGCATTCACTCCGATCCCGACATCTACCTACACGGTCACCTTCTAGACAGAAGCCCAAACATAAATTTGTGGGCCTAATATTAGATACCAAACTAACTTTCATATCACGCATCAAATCCGTAAGAATTAAGTGTTTAAAAACTGAGTTTCCTGAAAGTGTTGTCGCGCACTACTTGGGGTAGTGTCATGAAAGGCCTGATGAATTTGTGTAGAAGCCTTGTATCCACGCACCTAAATTATGGGGCAATAACTTATCAGTTACGTGATTAAGTGTTTAAAAACTATGAGTTTCCTGGTTGTCGCGCACTACTTGGGGTAGTGTCAGGAAATGCCTGATGAATTTGTGTAGAAGCCTTGAACCCACGCACCTAAATTATGGGGCAATAACTTATCAGTCCGCAACACCTTTTGTGGAAGTTACAAAGTACGTGCCTATTGCACTCATCCATTCATTCTTCCTTGAACTACAAAACAAATACAGATGTCCAGAACTTTTCATCGATGCTTCAAAGTCTAACAGCTTTGTGTCCTACGCAGTGGTTGGTTCAGCTTTTCCAGATGCTGCTACTCTGAATCCCAACACAAACATATTCACTGCAGAAGCTTATGCAATACTTGCGGCCATTAAACACATTAAGGCCAAACCTCATAAACGCGAAAATGTACGTGATAGCGACGAGCCATGCTATGAGCGACGAAACAGGGCGTTCGCGCGACGTGTCGCGTGGTAGCTTTCGCACGATTGCTCGATTCTCCAGATGTGGAAACCGTCGCCCTTCGCCCGAAAGTACTGTGCTCAAAGCACCGGAACAGGATGTACATGAATGACGTACTGCTGGTTCTCCTCATGTGTCGCGAAATCGCCAACTCCTCTCACTCGCCTCTCTGCCCGAGTCACGCGTGCACAACGAAGAAATAACGTAATGTTTGTGCACGTGCACATAAAAAAATAGTGCTGCAAGGCGATAATAAACACTTTCCGTTCTATTACACAATATATCTCAATTTTAAATTGCATACCGCTCACTACATGGTTTTCTTGGTACGAGTAGACGGCCTCATGCAAGCAACGGTGGAGTGCGCTCGCCGAAGCCGTCGCGTGAATGAAGTTTGCCTGTGCTAGCGACTGTGCGCGTGAAGGCAATCTACGTCGCTGTCGTGTGCATTTTTGCGTTTATGAGGTTTGGCCTTTAAGCATTTGAAACTACGAAAGGCAGTAATATACTTTGATTTTTTGAGTGGGGTAAAGGCCCTCGAACTAATGAAAATACATAAAAACCCTGTCCTTTTATCATATTACTCCCCTTTATGTTCCTTATACCGACTAAAATATTACAGTAAAACCTCATCAATTTGAACTTGGTCATTTTGAAATTCCACTTAATTCGAAGTATTTCTGCGGTCCCGTACTTTGCTATGTAAGTTTGAGCGGATAATTTGAAGTGGCGGCCGACACCAGTCTGATTAATTTGAAAACTTTGGGTGCCATGTGCCAGTTCCAGATCCCGGTTACGCCACAAATCCATGGTAACGACGGCCCTTAATAGCCACAAGGCAATGCAATGTAATGATACTAATTAGTGACAGCTGAAGTACCCCAAGCTCGCTACTTCCAGCGCAAAATAACGGGAAAAAGAAATGTCTCGGGGTCAACCAAAATGTGCGCCTGGGGAAAAAGATATGCTTCACTGCATCCCAGTGGTGACACGCAGGCAGCATATTGCATGTTTCTCTCAACGTCAGCGGGTCATGGTTTACTCATTCTTTCTGGGGTTGTAAGGAAATTAACAAAAAATAAATAGCGGAATTCGCAATGTATCCGAACTTCCGAGTGCCGGTTGCTCCAGCAATTCGTCCTTTTCCACTGCTGGCGTAGTTATTGCCAGCAACACCTGCTTCGAAAACTAAGTTCAAAAGCTTCAAAGATAATTTTTTTTGCAGCCAAAGCACGTTGCGAGTTTTGTCATACTGGCCATTCCTAATTCTACTTCAGAGAATGTGCACATGGTCGCATCATGAGGTGCTGATGCAGCAAGGGGCAGGCGGCATACTGCCTGAGTGTGTCACTACTGTGTTGCAGTGCTGATGTCTTGTTTTCGGCAGGCGCACATTTCAGTTTATCACTACAGGTTTTTTTTTTTTTTTTTTTCGGTGGCAGCAGCGAGGCCCAGCGTTCCCCCGTGTTGGCGGCAAAATTAAGGCCAGGTATTGCTGGAAAACATATCCCTTGGAGCCGCAAGCTAGCTGGTACAGCAAATGACAAGCCCCAATTACATTGAATAGTTTTTTTACATCCCTCTTTTTTATGTTCTGTTAAGTTGAAAACCTGCTTAATTCAAAAGATTTCTCGTGGCCCTCGTGATTTTTAAATAACGAGGTTATACTGTGTGTCGTAGTTTTCTGGGGGCCAGGGCACCGCGACATCCAAGGAAATGTACTGGCGGACAAGCTTGCTGTGTCAGTCCACGAAAACGCTGCGAATACATTCGTAGCGATTCCTCCTCTAGATTTGAAACCCTTTTGAAAAAGAAAACTCCGGGTTTATTTGCAGCGCTCATGGGACAAACACAATGAGCTACATCTCATAAAACCAAAGACTGAAAACTGGCCATCAGTATTCAAGTCACACCACACACAAGTAACACTTACCAGACTGCAAACAGGACATTTACACAGTGCACACTCACACCTTTTGTCCGGTAGCGATCCACGTGTATGTTATAAGTGCGGTGAACCACTCACCGTGCTTCATATTAATACAGTGCAAGGAATTTGATACAATTGGAAAAGGACATTTTACGTTTCTCTTCCACCACCAAATGCCCTTGCACCCATCGATATTTAGAGGCAGGGAAGCGCTTTGTAGCTATCAGTCATTGTTGGCGTTTTTAAAAGATGTAAATAGCTTTAACGTCATATTTTCAGGCATCTCTGCAGCACAACCTCTCTGAGGAAAGGTTGCTGCTGCAATGGTACACAAAAATGGCACCTGTCCTATGACCCTTAGAAAGAAGGGCTATCGATGAGGCATTGGTGCTTGCCATAAACCTCATTATAGTGTTACGACCACCGCTATTCATAAATGTTACACGCACTTCATGCCACCTTCATGATTTTAAATATGTATATGTTTTACCTGCTTTAGGGCGCGGAGTTTTAGGCCTCTATACAGCCACGTAGTTCACATCTTCAGCATGTCACAGCAAACCACGCATCATTGCTATTTTGATGTAATTTTTCATGGTGCTTATTAGTCAAATATGGCCCTTGCGTCAATTAAAACGTTATATCATCATCATCTTCATTTTCGTCATTGGCACCTGTTTCACCACTCACATTATGGAACACCAGCTCATGTCACTTCTTGAAGCAGCTGAAACACCCTTCCAATGCAGGAAGGGGTGCCACTCAAAAGCAAACGCGCATCACACAAAACTGAAATTCAGCTGAACAGCACTTCTTGTAGCTCGAAGTGTGCTGCTGTTCGAAGCCTCTTCTTTTATTGCTGAACTTGTCGCCGTCATATGCTTGCGTAATCTGGTCTTCGTTCGTGACGCGAGTGTTCAGTATGCTTTTCTTCTCGTTGAACATTACCATAATTTTTTTTCAAGATGCTCTTGCTTGCAGCGCCTTCGATATTTTCATTTTCGCCAGGGGGGGGGCTCTGGTTTTAGGAGACTGAGGGGAAGCCATCCGGGTGTTGCGTGGTGGTGATTTGTGCATCCAGAAATTAGACAATGAACAAAATAAGGAGCACAGTGATAAAAAAAGGCAAGGTTCTCTTTGGACGGTTGCCAAGAAGTTGGTTACCAACACTTCTGCTACAACTGACTTCTACGACAAAAAAAAAAAAAAAAAAAACTGACAGGGATTACGTGGGCACTGCACTGGCTTCCAGTGTTTTTGTTTGTTTTTCTCTTTCTGAATCCTTGTAATGAATGTTGCATGTATTACCAGCAAGCCCGTGCACATGCACTTCCTAATTGTGCACCATTGGTCACTGAGAACACTCATCGTCGTAGTGCTCTGTGGCCACACTTGGACCTTGCTCCAACAAACATTGTCACATCTCCTCAGTAATGTTCTCATGGCGTGAAGCTATCATTTCTGCATGAACCTTTAGTAGCAAATATGTTGATGCGTTGTGCTGTGCCCTTTTTGCAGAAGCGGGAACCGCTGCGGTTGCGCTACCGGTATCTCGACCTGCGCTCCAAGGAAATGCAGCAAAGGCTGCGGTTTCGCTCGGACCTTCTTCTACGGATGCGACAGTTCCTGGCGCAGCAGTGCGGTATGGGAACCAGCACAGCATTATTAAGAGTGGAATTGCCTGCCTGTGATCGCAGTCTGAGACATCTAATGGTAGCTGCATGAGCTCTCAGTGCAGTAGCAAACTTCTGTTCACTTTTGTCAAACACTAAGAATCTTTCCTCAAGTACCACGTGATCAACCGTTCCTCGTGTCAAAATCTCTCACAGAGGCGATCGTCCCAGGATAGAAAGTAACTAAGATGGGAAGTTCGTGACAAGCTCCGGTATGAGAAAATGTCAAAACTTGTAGCTTTTGGAAACATCCCAGTGTCAGTAGGGCCACATAGATGTGTGAGTACAGTGCGTGGCATCATCTCTGATGACGACCTTCTCGAACTTAGTGAAGTGAACTACTTGATGAATGGCAAGACCAAGACGTTGGAAAGCACAAAGAATCATGACTCGATGAAATTACTCACAAATCCCAACCACACACATAGTTCCGAGATTTGGAACCTACAAGCTGCCTGAATCAATCGAAACTGGCTACTGTAACCTTCGTGTGCGACCGTATGTACCCATTCCTCGCCATTAATTCAAATGTGCATCCAAGGAACACTTGTCTGATAACTGCGCCTCTGAAGCCTGTTGTGCGAACTGTGGAGGGGACGACCCCGCGTACTTATGATGATGCCCATCATAGAAAAAAAAAAAAGGAAATACCGTATTTACTTGAATGTAACGTGACCATGATTGTAACACGAGGAGTGACTTATCAGTGCCGAAAAAAAAAAAAAAAAACACGAATGTAACGTGAGTAAAACGGGGGGGAAAAGGGGGAAGTACCTTTATTGCTGCACATGGTAGTGGCAAAGACATTCACGTTTCTAAATACATACAAAGTGAGTTTAACTCATTCGTCGCTTTCATTTCCATAATCGCCTGGGGTAGATCATCCTCCGTGCCATTCATATAGTTCGATATACAACACTTTTTAAACGCACAAACTACAGTAAAGTTAACTGAAATCTCACGGGACCGGAGAAAATGACTGAGTTAACCGAATTCCGAATTATTGAATGGACCATGAAAACAAAAAGAAAACGTACACGGCACAGACAAACCTTTACCGTATTTCTTAAAAAGTGCGTTATTTTTGCTTGCTTCCCCGTCGGAATTCCCGACAGAATGATCTTTTTTAATCCCATCAGGTGGTGGTGCGCACATTCACTGTCGCGAGAACAAACGCACAGCTCCTCGAGGACAGCGAAGGCATCGGCGGCCTCCTGCACGGTGCGGCAACGTCGCGTCGGCTTATCCTGGCCGTATCGGAACAGTGATTTTGGTCCTCCTCAAGCACTTCCGATAATATATCGTCAGTCAGCGGACCAGCAACGGCAACATGAGAGTCTATACCGACATAGTATAAAATCTGGATGCCACTAGTAAGGAGAGAGTCAAAACGCGTGTCATTCATCTCGTCGTCCATACGTCGATCATACGTCGAAGATCATAGTCTCAACAGATCATAGTCTTAACAAGATCACCAGAAAAGATGTTTATCCGCTGCCCAGAATCGATGACCCCCTCGATTGCCTGCAAGGAGCAGAGTTCTTTTCTTCTTTAGATATTCGATCCGGCTACTGGCAGGTCCCTATGAATGCAGCCGACCGCTCTAAGACTGCGTTTGTAACGCCTAACGGATTGTACGAATTTAACGTCATGCCATTCAGCCTCTGTAATGCACCTGCCATCTTCGAGCGTCTCATGGACAACATCCTTAGAGGCTTCAAATGGAACACATGCCTGTGCTATTTGGATGACGTCGTCGTTTTTTCGAAGGACTTCAACTCCCACCTCAGCCGTCTAGCAAGCGTCCTGACTTGTCTTTCGAACGCTGGACTGCAGCTGAATTTGAAGAAATGCCACTTCGCTGCCCGCCAGCTTACCATCTTGGGGCATGTTGTTAGCAAGCATGGTGTCCGTCCTGATCCAGCCAAGCTTCACGCTGTCGCCGACTTACCCAGGCCAGCTACACTAAAAGAACTCTACAGCTTCATCGGGCTTTGCTCATATTTTCGCCATTTTGTGCGCAATTTCCCCATCATAATTGCACCCCTGACGCAGCTACTTGCCGACAACCAAGACCTCTCGGCATGGTCCCCAGCATGCGACGAAGCATTCGTGTCTTTATGCCATCTTCTGACATCACCACCTATCCTACGCCACTTTGATCCAGACGCTCCAACCGAAATCCATACGGACGCTAGTGGAGTTGGCCTCGGCGCTATTCTTGCTCAGCGTAAATCTGGCTTCGATGAGTATGTCGTGTCCTACGCTAGTCGCACCCTCACTAAAGCAGAAAAAAACTATTCAGTTACCGAAAAAGAATGCCTTGCCATTGTTTGGGCAATCACAAAATTCCGACCTTATGTATATGGCCGCCCATTTGACGTCGTGACTGATCACCACTCATTGTGTTGGTTTTTGTCATTAAAAGACCCATCTGGTCGCCTAGCTCGCTGGGCACTACGTCTTCAAGATTACGATGTTCGTGTAATTTATCAGTCAGGCCGCAAGCATTCGGACGCCGACGCTCTTTCTCGCTCGCCACTTCCCCACGATAATGTTGCAGCGTCTGTTTCCAGCTGTGAATGTTCTTCACTTGAACAGGCCGACATGTCCGCTGAGCAACGCCAGGATCCATGGATAGCGTCTCTCTTAGTGTACCTGTCTCAGACGTCTCCACGTACCGACAACCGTTTACTTCGACGAACTGCTCGCCATTTTACCATCCGTGACGGTCTTCTCTACCGGCGAAACTACCTATCTGATGGCCGCAAATGGTTGCTGGTAATACCTCGCCACCTACGTTCTAACGTCTGTGCCTCCTTCCACGCGGATCCACAATGCGCCCACGCAGGTGTAGTGAAGACGTATGCTCGCCTACGAATTCGATATTACTGGCGCGGAATGTACCGCTTTGTTAGGCAGTACGTCCATTCATGTTCCTTGTGCCAACGCAGGAAGAGCTTCCCTCGCACATCTACAGGGCCACTCCAGCCACTGCCTTGTCCTTCTCGGCCTTCCCGCCGCATCGGAATTGACTTGTACGGTCCCCTACCATACACACCAAATGGAAACCGCTGGGTCATCGTAGCCATGGACCACCTTACGCGCTACGCCGAAACTTTGGCGCTTCCCGAGGCCACTGCACGTGAAGTCGGCCTGTTCATTCTGCACAACCTCGTCCTTCGGCATGGTGCACCCCGCGAGCTTCTCAGTGACCGTAGGTGTTCCTTCTTGTCGGAAGCTGTAGAAGCCCTCCTGCTCGAATGCAACATCTTGCACCGAACAACGACCGCATACCACTCCCAAACAAACGGAATGACCGAGCGATTTAATCGCACGCTGGGTGACATGTTCTCCATGTATGTTTGTGATGACCATACGAACTGGGACCGCATACTGCCATTTGTTACTTACGCTTACAATAGCGCAATTCAATCGACAACTGGATTCTCCCCATTCTTCCTTCTTTATGGTCAGAAACCTTCATCGTTCTTGGACACTATCCTTCTGTACCGCCCAGACCCTTCAGAATCGACAACTTTGGCCGAAGCCGCCACATATGCCGAAGAATGTCGGCAGCTAGCACGTTCACTAACAACACACGATCGGGCTCGCCAGAAGCACTTGCATGACCGGCGCTCATCCCCTTCGTCATACGCGCCTGGGGCAATCGTGTGGCTCCGCGTGCCATCGTCTGCCCCAGGCCTTTGCTCAAAGTTCATACCCAAGTATGACGGTCCGTACCGGATCCTGTGCCAGACTTCACCAGTTAACTACATAGTTGAACCTATTCAGCCACCTACAGACCAACGGTGCCGCGAGCGCGAGACTGTACACATCGAGCATCTAAAACCTCACTACGACCCACCAGTCCTGTCTGTGCCATAGGTCGCCAGGATGGCTCCTTTCGCACCGGGGAGCCAATGTAGTGACAAATACGGGCTCTAAGAACGACGAAGAAGAAGTTTGTTGTGGCAGAGGCTCGTGGTGCTGCAGCTGCTGCTGAAACCGCTGGTTGCTGTCTCGGTGCTGTTAGGCCCAATAAACGGTTGCTCTACCCCGGCGTGCGTCTAGCAGTATTCTTACAGAGCTTTTGCTGTATCATGTTGTGCGGTAGGCTGTACCAAGCAGTGGACACCCACTCGGCAATCTTCGTAGCACTAGGTCGCTATGTCCAACCCAATAGTGTCAAACCCTGATCTTCTCGCATCCATTCTCCATATAGCTGCCGCATTCTATTGTTAAATGGTTTGTTCAGGCAGGCCTCTAAATGGCTGCAGCACGGACTTCATACCTCCGGGAATAACAGCAAGCTGCGTCTGAATTTCCCGCATCAGCTTCTTCACTTCGGGCATCAAGTGACTGCAAAATGAGTCAAGAACTAGAATGGGTGGACGAGCCCACCACACACTCTTGACCCAGTCAAGTGTAAGCGAAGTGTCCATTCAACCTTTTTTTTGGCTGCGAACAATAGCATCTCTGGGGAACAGCTCCTTCGGGATGGTTTTACGCCGTATAATGATGTAGGGCAGCAACTTGCACCCAACCCTGCAGGGGCGTCTGCCCAAGTAAGCATTTGGTGCATAGCGGCACCACGGACCCAAGCTAATTGGGGAGTTTTGACTCTCTCCCACGCCTAGCCGTGCATGGCTTTGCCGTGTCCGGGGAGAAGGAGATCGTGGGGGTTGAACCGATGCTGGGTGATTGGACTTTAAGACCCCCCGGCAGAGGCAACACACAAACACCCCTTTGGCCCCGGCTTCACGTAGATGGCATCCCTGGGCTGACCCACCCAGGGGAAATTGGCAGTCGCCTTTTCCTATCTCTCTCCCCTACAACTTCGTCTTTATCTCTCACTTTTAGTCTCTCCTGTCTACTTCTCTCTTCTGTTTACTTCCAATTTTCCTGGCGGCAAGGGTTAACCTTGTGTAGTTATATTTGGTTATAGTGGTAATCTACGTCTGGCGTC